TAAGGCCTCAAAGTCATGATACATACACATCCAACTACCCGAAGGGATAAAATGACCATGGACATTTTTATAATTTAAAGCTGTCTCTCTCATTTCCATTCCACTTTAAGTACCCACAATTTTATAATTCAGATCACTACCTTGCTGCCTCACTGGAAATCCAAGGCCAGTATCTCTGGCTGCTAGGTGGTGGTGCAGTGCATAAAACACTGGGTGGAGAATTAAGAAGACCTGAGTTCAAATCCTACCTTAGACACTTACTAGCTGTGTAATGTTAGGTAAGTCAGTTGACCTACGTCTACCTCAATTTCCTTAACTACAAAATGGGGGTCATGATAGCAACTACCTGGCAAGGTTGTTGTGAGGATCCAGATGAGATAATATTTATAAAGTTCCTGGCATATAATAAGTACTTAATAAATTCTTGCTCCCTTCCTCAGTTCCACCCATCCTCCCCAAAAAAGACTCTTCTTGTTATTTGCAAAAAATAACTAGCATAGAGTGACTGGGGTTTTGCTTGTTGTTCAGTTATTTTTCAATCATGTCCAACTCTTAGTAACCCCATGTGGGGTTTTCTTGGCAGAGATACTGGAGTGATTTGCCATTTCCTTCTCCGGCTCATTTTACAGATGAAGAAACTAAGGCAAACAGGGTTAAGTGATTTGCCCAGGGTCACACAGCTAGTAAGTGTCTGAGGCTGAATTTGAATTCAGGTCCTCCTGATTCCAGAGCCATTGCTCTATCCAACATGCCGCCTAGCTGCCCCATTTGGGTTTTGTACCATCTTGCCAATATGAGGTGGGGCTTGCCCATCCTGAACCATGCCATCTAGCCTAGCTCTAGCCCCTTCAGGGCACAGACTAGAATCTACCTGCTGCCTCCAGGGTGGGTACCCTTCCCAAGGGGCAACACTTGGGATCAGCAATGATGGCACTGTAACAGCCCAGCCTCTAGCAGCAGCTGGAGCATCTCCATCTCACCTCCCCATCCTACCTCTCAATGAGTTTGCCCCAGTTACCAAAATTCCTAATTATAGCTCTGTACATTTGAGGTGTTATAAAGACTCCATAAAGTCTCTGTCTTCCAGGAGCGCCTATTTGCCACCAGATCTTATGAATCATCATTTCCCTAAATCTCTAATTATCCCACCCTTCTTTTCCATCCTCATGACTAGGGATCTTTTGGTAAGGCACTCAGTACCTGATATAATAAGGAGGAGAATGGAAGAGAAATAACGAGGAGAGAGAAAATGATGGGGGCGGAGGGAGAAGATGAGGTAACAGGAAAAGAGGACAGAAAGTGTAAGAGATCAGGAGGAAAGATAATCTGGGAATAAGAGAGAAAAGGAGTGAAGGAGAGGTGATGAGGAGTGATAAACTAGCAGAAATGGGGTGAGACAATGGAAGCAGCATTGAAATGAAGGGAGGAATGAGAGAAGAGAAAGGGGATGAGATGTGGAAGGGCAGGATCATCAGATCACTGCAAGAGTGAGAGAACCAGGCCACAGTGAGAAATAATATGGAGGTTTGAGATGAGATAGCAGGAAAAGGGTGATATAAAGGAGACCAGATAATAAGAGTGAGGCAATATGAGGATGGATGGATGTATGGGATAACCAGAAGAGGTAAGATAACAGGAGCTAATGAGATTCTAGGAGAAGGAGTAAGAAGTCTCCCAGGACATCCCATTCCTCAGCTCCTATGACCTATGTCTTCATTCTACCCTCCTAGTAGATGCTGGTCATTCATTGTATCTTACCTTGATTCACCCTCTTAATTCACCCTCTGAAATTCTTCTTTCTGATTATAATCCCCTCTCCTTACATCTGTCTCTCTTTCTCTCCTTCTCTCCTTCCTCTGTTTTCTCTCCCCTCCCTCTCTCTGTCCTGCTCCCCTCTCTCTCTGTCTCTTTCCTCCATCCCTCTCTTTTTTCTCTTTCTCTCTTCTATGTCTCTCTATCTCTGTCCCTCCATCTCTCTCCCTCTTATTTCCCCCCATATTTCACTCAGTCTTTCTCTCCCTCCCTTCCTCTCTGTGTCTGTCTTTCTGTCTCTCCCCCCTTCTCTCTATGTCTCTGTCTCTCTATGTCTCTCTCAATCTCTCTCTCTCTCTCTCTCTCTCTCTCTCTCTCTCTCTCTCTCTCTCTCTCTCTCTCCCCTCCCTCCCTCCCTCTCTTCCTTCCATCTTTCTCTGTTTTTTGAAGTCATGCTTTTTCTCTGACTTCTCTGTTCTCCCTTTCTTCCCTCTCTCCCTGGCCAACCCTATAGCTGCTCAGTTCAATTACATAGCAGCCTCCCATCGTGACTCCTTTCTCCTCTTGTCTCATACTGTTAACACCTTTTAAGTCTTTAGCTCACCATCTGACTTTCCACTCTGCTAGAAGTCAAGAAAGACTACCTGGTCACTCTACAAACTCGTGTGACCTAATCTCAAGTGGACCTTCCCTTGGTCAAGGCCACTCTTTGATTCTCTCGTCTCTATCTTATTCCCCTCAGCAACAATCCCTAAACCTCCTCTTTCTTCAAGATCTCTGAGTCGTCCTCCTTCCTCTCTAGGTGCTCAACCATTCTCCTACTTTACTCCAATCTCAAAGAATGACATGTCCTTCCTACTTGCCGAGGACCACTCTCTAATCTGCGCCCTTAAATTCTATCTTTCCCATCTCATTCCTATCCTTTCTCCATCAATAATTCCCTTCCACTGTCTCTCCTCTCTCTCATCTTCATATCCTCTGTGCACATTCCTGCTGTGCTACCTAAAGCATGCCTAAATCTCCTTCACCTTTGAAAAGTCTTCACCTCACCCTGCCATCCCCTCTACTTATCATGCTATATCTCTCCTCCCTTCTACTTCCAGGCTCTTAGAATCATCTACTCTTGCTGACTCCCCTTCTTGCTGTTCCCAAGCCCCTTTGAATTCAGGCTTCTGACAGAACTTCTCGCTTTGAAGTCACCAATGATCTCTCAACAATTGTTTGCCGCCACCTTGGAGAATGTGCAGTCCAGAGTCTACCTGAAGAGAGAGCTCCTTCAGAGTCTCCCTTTTGTGGATGAGACAGTATTCATTATACTCATTGCTGGAACATCACAGAAGCTCCTTCGGTCTAATCAATCACTTTGAAAAGTTCAGCCTAACTATCCACACAAAAACAAGATGATATAGCAGTGAACAGATGATAAAAATAAAAAGGGGTTGAGGTGAGCTGAGATAAGATTAGGGATGAGATAACAGAGAGGGTTGACAAAATTAAGAGAGGATTAGATAATAGGGATAACTGGGAAGAATGGGCAGCCAGGTGATACAGTGTATAGAGCTCTGGGCCTGGAGTCAGGAAGACCTGAGTTCAAATCCAGCCTCAGATACTGACTAGCTGTGTGACTCTGGGCAAGTCATTTAACCCTATTTGCCTCAATTTCCTCACCTGTAAAATGAGCTAGACAAGGAAATGACAAACCATTCCATCATCTTTGCCAAGAAAATCCCAAATGGGGTCACAAAGAGTTGGATAAGACTGAACAACAACACAGAGGGATAACATAATTAGGAAGGGGTTATATAATAAGGATAACTGGAAAGAATGAGATAATGGGAAGAGGGAGATAACAAACTTGGGATAGGGAGAATTAAGATTGGAAAAGGGAAGTAACTAGAGGGGGACCAAAAAGAGTTGAGATAGGAGAGATTGATATCATTGGAAGGGGTTGAGATAACAGGTGTGAGATGATTATCAGTTAGATGAAAAAAGGGAGGAGTAAGATAAGAAAGGGGAAAGATCTCAGGGAAGGAGTGAAATGGCAGACAACTGGAGAGCCAATGGTCCTGGAAGTAACTGGGCAGAATTGGTGAGATAAGAGGGATAGGAGGAAGATGTGATGTAACAGGCAGAGTGAGATGTGGAAAGAAAGTGAGATAAAAGGAGAGGAATGGAGATGGGGGGAGATGAAAGGAAAAGTGAAATAGCAAGGAAAATAAAAGGCCAAGTGAAATGGGGAGGTATACAGAGCAAGGGCAAGATAATAACAGGGAAGGATGAGAAAATGGAAGGGGTGAGAGTTCAGAAAAGCATCAGATAACAGAGTGGATCAGCTGGGGGAAGGGTGATGAAGAGAGAAGAGGTGAGATAGGAAGAGGGAAATAATTGAGGAGATGAGAAATAGGGGAATTGAGATAACAGGGACCAGATGAAATCACGAAAATAAAGAGGTGGGGGAAGATGCCTTGGAAGGAGTAAAATCAAAGAGAAGAAGTGAGATAAAAGGAGGGTGAAATCCTGGCCAAGAGAGGAGATGAAAGTGATATAACAGAGAGGGAAAAGGTGAGATGAAAGGAGGGCTGAGATAACAAGTGAGACCACAAAAGCAAGAAATTAGAAGAGGTGTAAGGGCAGCATGGAGGGCTGAGAAGAGGAGGGATTAGAAAACCAGGAAGGGCTGCAGAGAGAAGTGAGGTGAGAGAGAGGGGGTCAGAGAGTTGGCCAGGGGTGAGCTAACAAGGAGATCAGGATAACAGAGGAGGAGTTAAATAACTTGCGGAGGTGAAACTGAGGGGAAGGGGTTGTATGACAGAAGGCTGTGAGATAGAATGAGTGAAATAGGGCAGTGAAATAACAGCGAGTGAGTTACAGGAGGGGGAGAAGAAGGAAGGAGGGAAGGAGAAAACCAAGGAGGGTGAGAATGCAGAGGAAGGGGTCATTGGGAAGGTGAAATAAGCAAGCAATGCTAATAACAAAGGAGGGAGAGGGTGAAAGAGGGGCATGAGAAAACATGGAGGAGTGAAATAATAGAGAGGAAGTGAAGAAAGACAGGACAGGCTCGCAATGAGGGAGGTAAGATGAGATAACTGGGAGGAGTTGAAATAGGTATGTTCGAGGAGGTGAGATAACAGAAAGAAGGTGAGATAGATAACAGGAAGGAGGAGAGATAACAGGGAGGAGCTGACATAGATAACTGAGAGGAGGTGAGACCCATAGTGGGGAGGAGGTGAGATTACGGGAAGCCTCACTGGGTGCCAGCAGCAGCAGCAGCAGGAAGGGGGGCGGGAGCCCCAGGCCCCCTGCAGCAGAAAGGCTCAGAAGTGAACAAGTCCCCATTTCCAGGGCTTGGCTGGTGCTCTGTCTCTCCTGGCAGCGCCTGTTTCTGTGGTAACTGACTAGGCGTGCCCAGGGTCCTTCTAGAGAGCGCCCCCTGTGGCTGGGGCCGGGTGTAACCTAAAGGGGACATGATCTCACCGGCCGGTGCATGGCTGTTCATCACAACCCCCTCCATCCCTCTTCCCCTTCAGGGCCAGTATTCCTTGTCCTGACCCTACACCTTCCTCCCTGCCCCCACTGCCCTCAGTGGAGTGGTCTGCAAGGGCCACATCATCTGGAGGAAAGCATCATGATTTAATAGAAAGTGAATAGAAAGGAATTTGAAATCAGAAAACCTAGTTTTGAGTCCTCAACATGGTTCCATAACTTGTATCTACATGATCTCAGATCACTTAATCTCTAACATTTTGGTTTTCTTATTTCTAAAATGAAAGGGCTGAACTAGATGACATCTAAAGTCTATTCCAGCTCCTAATTCTGTGGTCCTGTAAACCCTCAGGGGGTTCCTGGTCTAAGAGGAAAATAGGTCCTGTCTTGAAGGGCCACTGGTTGGAAGGGTCAGCCCCTACTACCGGAGCGTGGCTAGTCTGTGGGAAGACATGTCTTCTGACCTCAGGGAGTCCCTGTCCTGAGAAACCCCATCCCTCTACCCTCAGGGAACTTTGAGCCAGCAGCAAATTATAACCCCTGGCCTCTGGCCATCTTTGCCCTCAGGTAAGGAAAACAGGTCCTAAATTCAAGAGGTGAGGCTGAGATGGAGTCATAAACTTGACCATCTGGGATCCCTGAGTGAGAGACATTCTTAGATTTGAGGAAACTTTCAAGTTTCTTTGCCTATCTCTTCTTCACTTTCCATCCGGCCAAAATTTGGGTCTGCAGGCCAGTGTGTCCAAGAGGCACCATAATATCATTTTCAAGAATTGCAAAATTTTAAACTGTAGGCAGATTGTATCAGGAATGCCTGGACGTGCTACCAGGAGGCTGAGTAAGCCCCTCCCCCTCCTGTCTTCTTGGCAATATGTGAATTCTGTAGACGGGATTATTTTTTGTCCTGAGACCTCACTGACCCAGAGAGCAAGACTTTTTTTTTTTCTTTTTGTACTGATTAACTTTTGTGGCTAGGTCATACACCTAAGCTAGCTAACTAAGCTCTCAGGTTCTGCCTTTAACAGGAAGCTGTATATGGTGGTATAACAAAGAGGAGAGATCCAGAAGCTCCCTGAAGGGAGGCCTCCGTGTACACACAGTTCCTCCAGGGAAGCACTGACCTTGAGGAAACATTTCAAGTTGACATACAGAAATTAAAAGAAGGAGCTCTGTAAAGGCCCTCTTTAAGGGGATACAGAAGGAAAGTGGGAGCCATTGCCAGATGGAGATATTAAGGGAAAGAAGTATTCACATAGCACGGGGATGATGCAGAAGATCGATCCAGATACAGCTAGTTCAGCTATTGAGGCATTTGGGACCCTCCAGAAGTGAGGGTTGGGGGAACAACCTAGCAATGGAGTGGGAATAGGGGTCCTTTCAGAAGTCGGGATGTCCCTAGGGAAGGCAGAGGTCACAGAGAAGGAAGAGGAATTTGATTGTTTATAAGATTAGGTACAAACCCTTTGTTTTTTGTAAAGTGAAATAAAGCCTGTCCTATCTTCAGTAGTTTTGCTAGCCTGGATGCTTCCAGAAGGAGCAAGGGGCCTATTTCTGTGGTAACTCAGCCCAATTCTGATGTTCCTAAGGGAAACCATGACTGAGGGTAAACACGAGACAAATTCTTTGCAGAGGTAGCCAGGTATTATAGCAAATAGAGTACTGGACTTGGAGTGAAGAACACTTGAATTTGACTTACCATGTAATTAAGAGGGATTTTCCTCATCGGGGAGTCCCCTAGACCAATGAAATCACAGGTCTAGGCCCTTCTACACTCAATCTAAAGAACATCAGGCATCACACAAAGAATAGACTATACTGCTGGGTATACTTTTAATTTTAAAAAATGTTTTGTAGTGTTGTGATAAAATACACACCCATCGTGTCATTGGAAAGAGAGCATGGTGCCCTGGAAGGGTTCTACCTCTGGGATCAGCAGACCTGGGCCCAGTTTCTTGCTCCTGCATGGACTGTGTGAAGGGGCTGTGTCATTTAAGCTGGATGAGCCTCGGCCCCTCGTCTTGTTGGACTGAGATAAAATGCATCTAGCTGTGCCCCTCTCTCCTTTCCTTACGGGAGGAAAGGGAAGTGTAACCCTTATGATGTTGTAAGAACGGAGTATTGCCATGTCCTCGGCCATGAGATGCCAACCATAGTCGCCACAGACAACGAAAGAACTCCCAAGTCCTTTTCATTTTGACAGTTTAATGAAATCAGCGATCTCAGTGCCTTTTACCAGTCAAGGACTGTCTGTTCCCAGCCCCTCGGGGCTCTCAGCTGCTTCCAGAAGAAGATCCGTCCCAGCACTGCCCTATTCTCTTCCCTGTCCCGTCCCCGCCCCACTACCGACTTGAACACCAGGCCCCACTTCTGAAAAATTTGTCTGTCACACTGTTAGTGGGGGACTGGCCTGAAGAGATGAAGATGGGATGATGTGAGGGAGGGAGGGAAGCCCATGTGAAAACAAGGGAAGATGGAACAGAGGAGCCAAAAGAGAGTGGGGGTGAGGGGAAGAAGCCTTCACGGGGCCATCGGGAGACCCAGGCAGAACATCTAATGCAGGAGCATGACCTGCAAAGGGACAAGGAGGGTGGGAAACAAGGTATATGTGGCTGATCTAGACCACGACGTGTTTTCACTTCTCTCCTCTATCCTGCCAATTTTCCTAGTTAGTAGAAATGAGATTTTTTTGGTCTTTTCTATCCAGTCCAGATAAGGGATCAGTCTGGTAAATATGGTCAGGTAGGTGGGTGAACACTGGGTGCTCCAGCTCACCACTGCCACCTGGGTCCAGATCTTCGAGAATTCACAGACAAGGGGACTTCCAACATCTCCCTGGGGAAGAGAGAAATAATTAGTGGGAAATTTCAGAGAGGTGATTGATCCAGCCCTGCCCATCCCCAGACAAGGACAATCAACAATCAGGAGACCCTAGAATGTCAGAGGCAGAAGTAAGCTTAGAGACCATCTAGTCTAAGCCTTTCACTTTACAGATGAGGAGACTGAGGCTCAGAGCCAGGAAGACATCCATTCGATTGACTTCCCAATGCACCTTTCCTAGATTTGAACACACTGAACTTACTGGCACAGGTTTCTACCCAAGAACTCGAGTCATTCACCAGACATTTATCCAGAAGTCCCTGTGTGCGGAGCGCTGGTCTAGGCACGGAAGGAACTGGAAGCAGAGATAAGCCACAAAGCCTGCCCTCGTGGAGTGGGCGGCATACTCCTCCAGCACTGCCAAAGCCTTTTCCTGCTTTTTCCTGTTCTTCCTCCTCCTTCTCCTTCCTCCCCTCCCCACCTTCCCCTGATTCCCAGGCATGATGTGTGCCCCCTGGCTGGGTCAGTGTGGCCTGAACTGCCTGCCCTAGGATGGAGAATCAGAGGTGGTCTCTCCTCAGCCCTGTCCCGGGCAGACTAGGCCCTGGCCCTGTCAGACCCAATAGAGAGGCAGCCACGGTAGAGGGGACAGAATCCTAGCTTAGCACAAGGACACCTAGGCCTGGATCCTGGCTCTAACATTCAGGAGGCATGTGGCTCTGAGACTCATTTTTCTCATCTGTGAAATGAGAACAGTGATCCTCACTTCACACAAAGTCATAGGGGCACAAGTCATCTGTTATAGAAATGGGAGTTATTGTTGAGATGGTTTTTCCTTATTTTAGGTTGACACCTGCCTTTCACACCCTCCAGGTATAGGAAGATCATCTCTGCCCCAGGCCAGCCCTGCAGCCAAACGAAGATGAAGACCACGGCAGCCTCCCCTCCCCCTTATCCTTCCCACCTCACTAGCTTTGCTCAGGTCCTCCAGTCACCCGGATTCCAACCCTCCCCACCCTGGCGGCCCTCCTGTACTCAACAAGCCTTATTCAGGGGCTGGTGACACATGAACAAGCTGGAACTGCCCCTGACCTGTCCTGGTGAGAACGGCTGGTCAGTGTCCTTCTCCAAATGAGGCCCCCAGAACTGGAGACCCGGGATCTCATCCAGGCTAACCTCATTCCAGTCTAGGTCTTGGGTGAGCAGCTTAAAGGTCCTGGCAGTCTTCAGGACAGCAGCCAAGCTGCTTCTGGAATTCTCAGCTATTGGCCCATTGACAAGGTCAGGGGGGAATTTCCCAAACTTGTCTGAACCATGTGAAAAAGTCCTGGAAACAGGGGCTAAGCACTAGCCCTAGGACTCCTGAAGGAAGAGCCTTCAGATGATCTTCCAATAAAAACTGACCAACAGACAGGTCAACTCAGAGCTGATGGAGAAGCAGACAACATGGTGCATTCAGAACCACAGGAGCCAGGTTTGAATTCCAGCTTTGCTCTTCACCCCCCACATGACCTCAGGAAAGGTCCTTACATAAGCACACTGCTGCATTGTTGGTAGAGCTGCGGATGAGCCCAACACTACTGGAGAACATTTGGGAATTCTATGTAAGTCACTGAGCTGTACAAACCCCTTTAACCAAGGAGGTCAAAGACAGGGACAGAAAAATATTAATAACAATACCTTCAGTAGCAGCAAAGAACTGGAAGGAAAACTGGTGCTCATTCATTGGGGAATGATTGTGACAAATTGTAGCATACCATGAAATCACAGATGCAGAGCTGCAAGGGGCCTTGGAATGTCTAACACTAGCAAAACACGAATTTCTTTTTTATTATCCACTCCTGGTTTTCTGTCCAGGGGATGGAATAAGAAGAGTTCCCATTTCTAGAAAACATCACAAAATTATGAAGTACCATTCTCACAACAACTCAATCCAAACTTCACAGAACAAATCCCCTTAATAAAAGGGTTTGTTCTGTAAAACTTGGACTCAGTCAAAAGGCCACACTTGAGGACCTAGAAGGCCACATGTGGCCTCAAGGCTGCAGGTTCCCCACCCCAGGACTAGATCCTTCCTGAGCTAAAGCCTGCCTCTGAAATCTCCTATGATACAGAGAAGATTTCTATTAAGGTATGGATTGGACTAGACCAGAGGTGTCAAACTCTCAAGTGTTTCAGAGCCAGATTAAAACGTAA